GGATATCCCCAGATTTCACTTCTAATTTGAACTCCACATGTGCATCCAAACAGTCCACAAGGGCAGAGCCTGGCCTATGCCCCAGGACCCTGCCTTTCACTCCCCTTCAGCCACCTGTGCTCCTTGCTATCCCCCCAAGCACACCAGGAACATGCCTGCCTCAGCGCCTGACAGTAGCTGCTCCCTCTGCCTTCGATGCTCTTCCACTCATACCTCCATGGCTCCACTGATACCTGCATGTGCTGTCCTCGCCTCCTTCAGCAGGTCACTCAAATGTCACATACCAGAGAGGTCTTCTTGCTACTCTTTTCACCCTCCCCCTTCCTCCAGCCCTGATACTACTATCTCCCTTTCCAGACACTTTTTTCTTTAGCACTTATCACCATCTAACATATTTGTGCATTTTGCTTCACCTATACTCTTTATCGTCTGCTTTTCCCACTAGGATGGAGGCTCCAGGAGGCAGAGATCTTTTTCTTTCATCTATTTTATCCTCCACCACGTCCACACCTTTGGTGCATATTATTTACTGTGTTGCCTCTTATTTCCTCAGCTACATGGAAAATGACTTAGGGGTAGGGAATGTGTCCCAAATGCCAGTGCTGAGTGCTATGCCTCGCACACAGTAGGTGTTCATCAAGTTGTTCCTAGTCCAGCATCAGTTTGCTATGTTGGCATGTGAATTAGTTTTTAACTAAATTTAGACTATATTCTTTAATGATTTTAAAAATTACTGGTTTAAATATTATGCTCCCTTCAGAGATGAATATTCATCAGGGCTCAGCGGCTGAAACGGTGTGATGGATGGGTACCAAATATACTACAGATAGACCTGTTGCCGTCTAGTTGATTCTGACTCAGGAATTCTGAAGGACAGAGTAGAACTGCCCTATAGGGTTTCTAAGGAGTTGCTGCCGGATTCGAACTGCCAAACTTTTGGTTAGCAGCTGAACTCTTAACCACTGCGCCAAACATACTAGAACTTAAATTTCAATGGACACATTTCTTCCCAAGAAGCCATTCTTTCAAACATACATTATTCCCACATAGGGCTGCTAGTCAAATTTTTAAACTTTTTTTATGGAATTCCTTTCTGCATGTTACTTTGAATATCTTCAAAAATGGCAAACTTTTATCCTTTGAAGGTAGATGGATGGAAATTATGAAAAATCATTCCAAGTTAAATGCAGTGTAAAAGGTAAATAATTAACCTCTAATACAATACCATTTTGGGGCAGAAAAAACGAAGTGTGACTATTCTGTAATGGGGCCACTTCTCAATGAGAAGCTTCTGCATTTGATGCAAAGTTAAATACAAAAGAGGAGTTGTGGAAAGATTGTGAAGAATTTTTGGAACATAATCATGAATTCCTAAGAAGTTAGGTCTCTAAAGGACCTCATGGTTCACAGCTCGTGTTGCAGACAATCTGGGTGTTTTGATTGTTATCACTTATTTGAATGTATCTTTTCAAGTATATTTGTTTTGTAAAAGTCTCATTACCTTAGTTTTACTCTGTCCTTATTGCTTTTTGCCTTATGCCTCTAATAGGTAAGTGTACCTTAATTGCTTACCAAAAATTGTTTGGTTAGAATAGTGTAATTTTTTTTTTTTTTTTAATGTCATTGATTATCCTAGAATTTACTTATCGATATGGTTAGGTTCCAAAGATGGGGTCATTATGTGAAAATCGGAGTTATGCAAAAATGGAGGATGACGGCATCAGATCATAAACTGGAGGATGACTATACCAATACATAACTGTCAAATTACATCATTACATAACTGCCAAACCACTGAGAATCATGGCCCAGCCAAGCTGACACATAACTTTAACCATCACAGACGGTGTTCTCTTGCCTCTCAGCTCGGTGTTCTTTACTGCCAGACATACCTCGTTAATGCACAAAATAATCAGACAGTAGACTTTTTACTATTGTCATAAATGCGAAATGTTGGATAACGAGTGAGGAATAGGTGTACTTTCCTTTTTGTAATTCTGATATATTCTTTTGCAAATTTTCCCAGTATATGTCACCCAACTGGTATTGGCCCATGTTATTATGTAATATTTTTCACTGAAGAATTGGAAATAAAGCCAGCTGTCAGAATCCTAAACAAAAACTTTTCCCACTTCAATGCTGCCTCCAAGCCTTTCTTTATTCCTTGAGAGTTCTTTATACACCAAATTTTTAAAAAATTAATTAGTAGTTAATTAAATGCATAATTTCTTATTATATTTCCTAAGTAATTTATAGCCGACCAGTTTGAAAATCATTGGCACTTCTCTGCCTCTCCTGGCAATATTGTCATTGTTGTTGTTGGGTACCATCGCGTCAGTTTCCACTCCTAGCGACACCATGTACAGCAGAACGAAACACTGCCTGGTCCTGCACCATCCTCATAATTGTTGTTATGCTTGTGCCCATTGTTGCAGCCACTGTATCAATCCATCTCATTGACCCTCTGCTTTACCAAGCATGATATCCTTCTCCAGGGACTGGTCTCTCCTTATTACATGCCCAAAGTATGTAAGATGAAGTCTCGCCATCTTCACTTCTAAGGAGTATTCTGGCTGTATGTCTTCCAAGACAGATTTATTCCTTCTTCTGTCAGTCCATATTCAGTATTCTTCACCAACACCATAATTCAAAGGCATCATTTCTTCTTTGGTCTTCCTTATTCATTGTCCAACTTTCACATGCATATGAGGTGATTGAAAATACCATGGCTTGGGTCAGGCACATCTTAGTCCTTAAAGCGACATCTTCAGTTTTTAACACTTTAAAGGGTTTTTGCAGCAGATTTGCCCAATGTAATGCGTCATTTGATTTCTTGACTGCTTCTTCCATGGGCATTGATTGTGCAATATTAATGGGAGTAATTTAGAGGTGCAACATTTAAGCACTCCACCGCTAACCAAAAGGTCAGCTGTTTGAACCCACTCAGAGGCTCCTTGGGAGAAAGACCTGGGAATTTGCTTCTGAAAAGATTACAGCCAAGAAAACCCTATGGGGCAGTTCTACTCTGTCACAGAGGGTTGCTATGAGTCACAAGTCATTTCAGCAGCACCTAACAACAACAATAATTAAAAAAAAAAAAAAAAGGAATACAAATTAAATAAAGTAAATGCAATGCTAGTCTGGCAAACTAGGTGGCAATGTATTTCCAAAGTGGGACTGACCAGTCAAATAAAAGACAGTGGCTGCAGCAGTGGGCTCAAACATAACAACAAATGTGAGGATGGCACAGGAACAGCAGTGTTTTGTTCTGTTGTACATAGGCTCACTATGGGTTGGAACCTAGGTGAAGGCACCTAACAACAACAACTCACTCTATTGAATACTCTAATTGTATAATGTTCAGAAAAGATTGTTTCTCCATTCAGTGGGTGAATGGTACTTGCAAGATAACTCTACTCAAATATTAATCACTATTAGCATTTTCTATATTATTTGCATGTGTATGTATAGATTCCAACCTTCCTTTATGATACCCAGTCCAGGAAAGGGTGGGGTGACTCAGCTCAGATCAAGTCCTGAGAATGAAGCATCTGCTGAGAGATGGAAGTGTTCTGACTGTTACAGATTCTTTGGGTTACCTGAAATCTATGACCTATGATTACCTGAAAATGATTGGAAAGTAGCTCACAGGTTAAAAAATACACTTAAAAACCAAAAAATCAAACTTGTTGCCACGGAGTCAGTTATGACTCATGCGACCCTATGTGTTACAGAATAAAACTGCTCCATAGGGTTTTCTTGGCTATAATCTTTATGGAAGCAGACCACCAGGCCATTTTTCTGCAGCACCAGTGAGTGGGTTCAAACCATCACGTTTATGTTAGCAACTGATAGAAAACTGCTTGCGCCATTCAGGCTTCTAAAACTATACTAAAAAAAAAAAAAAAAAACCATTGCAGTCGAGTCATTCCGACTCATAGCCACTCTAGAAAATATTGAATGTTGTTAATCTATCCCCAAATTTTCCTTCACAAGAGTAAATTCTGTATTCTACACATACAAATAGTCCTTCATTTTAGGCAGTGGGTCAGAGAAAATCTGATGCACGATTGATGTAATTGATTTTGAAGCGGAGGTCAATCTGCTTACTCCCAATGGGTTCCTTGTGAACAGCGTCAGAGGAGACTAAATGACTGAAACCAATGAATCTACTAATTGTGGAAGGGAGACTACTAAGGATAACTACCTTCCTCTATTATTTTTAAACATATGTGAAATGCATATGACATGATTAACTTCTGAGATAAGCATAAGCGCACCACATGGTCTCTAGTGGAGTGTCATTGGCAGATAGCCTGGAGGACTCATTGCTTACATTAGTTGTGAATTATCAATTGTCTTTGTTGGGCTGAAGCTTCAGATGAAATTGCTCATGAGATGTTTTAACTAAACTTCTTGCCTGTTTCTGTTCTGTCAGTGACTTTCCCACTAAACTGTTTACATGTCATCATATGTAGTAGTTTCAAATATTTTTGTTTCCATAGTTGGTGGTTTCTAAAATTTTTAGGAAGTTTCTACTCTGTTGCTTTTCTCTTAAAAATTTACGAACATTTCTATTTGGAATATGTTATGTAATCCGTGTTAGTATTTCTAAGAGCCTGTCATTATAAAGCATGGGTTTATAATATCTTTATAACATTTGTAATTGCAAAGAAATATAACACAATTTATTGTTGACTGACAACATCCCTAAGACAGAAGTTTTAACATCACTTTCCTACATTGTTTGAATCAGAGAATTGGATGTGATATTGAAAACAGGTAACTAAGAATAATTCATCATGCTATGATTTTTCATTTTCTTTTAGCTAGTCCACTGGTTCTTATATAAACATAAATCCTTAGGTCACTAACTTCTCCGTATCCTGCTTTGTGTTAACCTACCTGGAAAAGAAAGGCTACCTAGTAACCTGTCAGGCAGAGCAAATAATATCCACGACATGCATTCAGCTCTAATTATTTTTGTTTTACTGACCCAGCTGCCCGACCCCAGGATGCGATGGAAGTGGCCACGTAACAGGAAACTATGCATCTCACCGCAGGTACCTAGCAATCCCTTGTTCATTAACTTGTTCTAACTTTAAATACTTATTCTCACCCATTCTAGAAAGATATTATCTGGATCAGAAAATGGAGAGGGGTTAGTTGGGATTTTTCTGTTGTTGTTGTTCTGTTTACCTGAAACAAAGCTAAGTTAAATCTTCAGTCTTTTCATTTATGTAGTATAAAAATCATTATTCTGGGTCAAAAAGGTTTTCTGATCTTGTAGTCCAGGCTACACACCCAAAATCAGGTTCATCTCTGGGCTCTGGCTTCTTTTTAGCTTTAGGACTCATGGAACAAAGCAGAGACAGCAGGAAAGAACTGAGCTGACCATTCATCCTGCGGGATGTGGCGTCCTCAGTTCTAGATAAACAACAAATTAGACAAAACAGTAAATGGGAGTGGACGCAGTGTGGGTAACACTGTATCAGGGAGCTTTAGAGCTCAGGAGTCTCACTGATAACAAATCTGAGGCTGAGAGAAATCACTGAAGTGTCCACGAGTCCAGACAGGTTAAAGTAGCAAAGCCAGGTTCAAAGGAGGTTTCGTTTTTCAGTCCACAACCTCTTGTAAATTGGTGTGCCCAGAAACTCATGATGACATCTGAGTCAGATTTGTATCTGTCCATATTGTTTTTTCTTCTTTTTTTTTTCTCCCCCCTTTAGTGTTTCTGGATGTCCTTTAGCAGATAAGACTCTTAAGTCCCTCATGGCTGCTAACTCTCAGGAGCTGAAGTAAGTGTATGGAAGCCTGGTCAGTGCCCTTGCTGCCTTGTGGTTGGGACCGTCCTCCTTTAGTCTCAGTGTAGTCACTAAAAAGCAGTACATCAAATCTAACTAAATTACGAGAAAAGCACTCTTTCACCAAAAGGTTGAAATAACTAAAACCAAATCACTTTAATTAATTTAGTTAATTTTCTTGCTTTGGGATTTGTATTTTATAATAATTTTCTAAAAGCAATGATGTAGTAGTTTGTCTTAGTTTCTTAGTGCTGCTATAACAGAAATACCACAGATAGGTGGCTTTAATGAACAGAAATACACTTTCTCACACAACAAATTCAGGGCACTGGCTCTAGGGGCATGCTCTCTTGGTCTGCTCTGTGGGATAATTCTTGTGTCTTTCTTTCAGGTTCTCTTCCTAGGTTTCTTGATGATCTCCACGTGGATCAATCTTTTCCCATTTTGCTTCCTTGTTTCTGTGCCTAATTTGCTGCTTTGGTATCTCAAAAGTGATTGGTTTAAGACACACCCTACACTGATGTGTCCTCATTAACAGACAAAGAAAATCTTATTTCCAAATGGGATTATATCCACAAGGATAGGGGTTAGGATTTACATAATTTGGGAGGACAACATTCCATCTATAACATAAACACAATATTTTTTTCTGTTAATTTCAGAATTTATATACTAAATCAGACCTGTAAGGTGTAGCAAAGCATTCTCCTCATCTAATTTTAAGAAAACTTCATAATATTTTACTTTGAGCATTTTGGACCATAAACTTGCCTTTCATTTTTGGATGCTAGACACAATTTGGACTCATTTCTAATTAATCTAAAGGATCTCAAAGTCACATTTATATTAATCTCAAAGTCACATTTATATTAATCATTACTTATTTTATTTTTCTAATCTCCTCTTACTTCAAATATACCCGTGTTTATTTTCATGTCTTATTATATTACATAGAGAATAATAAAAATAATAACCCATCTTCTGTGGTTGTTAGGTGCCATCGAGTAGTTCCGACTCATAGTGACCCTATGTACAGCAGAACGAAACACTGCCCAGTCTTGCGCCATGCTCACAATCATTGTTATGTTTCAGACCATTGTTACAGCCACTGTATTAGTCCATCTCATTGAGGGTCATCCTCTTTTTCACTGATCCTCTACTTTACCAAGCATGGTATCTTTCTCCAGGAACTGGTCTCTCCTGATAACATACCCAATGCCAGTGAGACGAAGTCTCGCCATCCTTGCTTCTAAGGAATATTCGGCTGTACTTCTTCCAGGACAGATTTGTTCCTCCTTCTGGCCCATAAACCCATTGCCATCAAGTTGATTCCAACTCATAGCAACCCTATAGGACAGAATAGAGCTGCCTCAAAGGGTTTCCAAGAAGCAGCTGGTGGATTTGAACTGCCGACCTTTTGGTTAGCAGCCCAGCTCTTAACCACTGTACCACTAAGGCTCCCTTCTTCTGGCAGTCCATGGTAATTCAAAATTCTGTAATTCAAAGGCCTCAGTTCTTCTTTGGTCTTCCTTATTTATTGTCCAGTTTTCACATGCATATGAGGTGACTGAAAATACCATGGCTTGGATCAGGTGCACCTTAGTTCTCAAAGTGACTTCTTTGCTTCTTAACACTTTTAAAGAGGGTTTTTGCAGCAGATTTGCCCAATGCAATACGCCATTTGATTTCTTGACTGCTGCTTCCATGGGCATTGATTGTGGATCCAAGTAAAATTAATATCTTGACAACTTCAATATTTTCTCCATTTATCATAATGTTTATTGATCCAGTTGTGATGATTTTTGTTTTCTTCATGTTGATGTGTAACCTATTCTGAAGGCTGTAGTCTTTGATCTTCATCAGTGCTTCAAGTCCTCTTCATTTTCAGCAAGCAAGGTTGTGTCATCTGCATATCACAGGTTATTAATGAGTCTTCCTCCAATTCTGTTGCAGTGTTCTTCTTCATATAGTCCAACTTCTTGGATTATTTGCTCAGCAGACAGATTTAATGGTAGATGGACACAACCCTGATGCACACCTCTTCTGATTTTAAACCACATAGTATCCCCTTGTTCTGTTTGAACAAATGCTTCTTGGTCTATGTACAGGTTCCACATGAGTACAATAAAGTGTTCTGGAATTTCTATTCTTTGCAATGTTATCCATAATTTTTTATGATCCACACAGTCGTATGCCTTTGTGTAGTCAATAAAACACAGGTAAACATCTTTCTGGTATTCCACTTTATATCCTTTTGAAAATATGATAGCACATAAATGAAAAAAGATATAGGAATAACATTAAACAAAATTGAAAAAAATTGTGTGCAAAGAATAGCATTTAGGAAAAATGAGTGTTACCAAGTCTTGATTAAACAATATTTGTGTAAATATTTTTTAGTAATTGTGTAAATACTAGAATTAACATGTTTAACAATTCAGATATTACATTGTCTTCATGACTTTTTGTTATTATTTTCTTTTCTAACTTGTTTAAAATTTTCATCTAAAATTATTAAAACAACGTTTATGAAAGACAATATACTAATAAACATACATAATTTTTATAAAAAATAGTAAAGGAAACTATGAGACACAACTTTTCTCATTTTCAAAGTATAGCATATAATTTATTGTGCCATTGAATGTTCTAGAAATCATTTTATTGAAAACTGTTTTTCCTACTGAAATATAAGAATGATAAGTGGAGATTAATAATTAGCAGGTTGAAAGTTGAGAAGCCGCAGGATATCTTCCTCAATTACTCTAAACTTATACACTGCCAAATCCTAATTATAACTGCCTGTTCTCTTAAGTATTTTCTCTGAGCCTTATTTCTAGGAATAAAATGTTGACAGTACTTTGATAACATGTAGACTGAGAAGTCCTATAGCAATATTAAGTATTTCTATGTTTTATACAGCCATCTAGTAAGTAATATCTTTGGTTTTTCCATACAAGAAAAAGAAGAGACATCTCATTGACCTTTTGTTTAGATATTCAAAGAGAATCCCAAAACAAAATTATTTGGCACAGGTGTTTCCATAATTACAATATGCTAGAAAACCACTATTTTACTAAAAATGTTAATAGAGAAAGACTAGCATTCAAGCTTTTCTTACAATATGGAAATACAAATTATGTTTTTAAATGGGTGATTAAAGACTTGGTGCAGGCTTCTCTGGATAGCTTGAAGAGCTGTGTGCTAATTTCAAATTTCATTTGAAAGAAGCATTTCCTCCCTATTACTCTGTCTTAGGATTGGATATAAGCATTTCTATGGAAGTTCAGTGGATTACAATCTAAGATAGTATTCACATTTTTCTTTGAATGATCAATTTTCTCAAAAGGAACTCTTGTTTGGGTAGAACCATGGTGAGCGTAAATGTGAAACAATAAACAAAGATCATTTCTAAAAGAACCTTCAGGAAAGCAAATATTTTGTGAGAGCCTCTGGGTTTTCATTAGTATTTAGGATAGAGAAAAGGCAACAAATAGGGTGAGAATCTGTATAACTTTTGTATTCAAGTGTATTTTGAATCCTATTTCTAATCAGCATTCCCTGTAAAATCGATCCCCCTTCCTCTTTCACGCTTCTCAGTCCAAATTTAGTGGCTGATTATTGTATAATAGTTACTGATAGATTTTCCAAAGGGCCATTTAAGTTGGGCCATGAGGCAGGACACGCCAGGTGCAAATCATTTAGGTTCTTTGGTAATCATATTAATGTGCCAAGTCTCTGGAGTTCACATATACCACTGTTCATCCGAAAATTAATGGATTATAGTGGTTATGCAGAATATTGGAGAAAATAAAGTACGCATTAAAGCGATTTGGAAAACTTTTCCTCTTAGGCAAAAGATAAGAACTTTGCATGATATAGGCAGAGTCTAGTGGTAAATTGCGGACTAACTTTCAAATTGTTTCCAAAACAAAGTTTTTAAAAAAATGTTGTTGTTGTTAGGTGCCGTTGATTTGATTCGACTCATACTGACCCTATGTATAACAGAATAAAACACTGTCCAGTCCTGTACCATCCTCACAATTGTTGCTATGTTTGAGCCCATTGCTGCAGCCACTGTGTCAATCCATCTCATTGAGGGTCTTCCTCTTTTGCATTGACCCTCTACTTCATCAAGCATGAAGTCCTTCTCCAGAGATTGGACCCTCCTGATAACATGTGCAAAGTATGTGAGACGAAGTCTCGTCATCCTCACTTCTAAGGAGCATTCTGTTTAAAAAATAACAACTAATATATTGTCTACCACGCATTGGACAGTAGTAGCATAGCTTAAAATTCCATTTAAAAATAGATAATGAAACAAAAGCTAATAATATTAAAGCAAAAAAAAAAAAATTCCACATAAAGCAACTCATTCTGTTAAGTTCTAGATAAATGTCTTAACCTCCCCACCAACAACACTAGGTGAACTGTTCCTGTTTTCCAGGTGTCCAACCCCAGGCTGCGATGGGTCAGGCCATGTGACTGGAAACTACGCTTCCCACAGAAGGTAGGGCTGTTCCCGTTTCTGAGATGTACACCATAATGTCAGCAGCAGTGGTCAGCCAGATCACATGGATTTTTTTCTTGTTGTTGTTGGGTAACTCTTTTAGCTTGTCTGGCTGCCCTCGTGCCAGGAAAGGTGGTGTCAAGATGACCCCTACCAAGGATGAAAAAGAAGACCCTGAACTTAAGTAAGTGCAACAGGGAAGTCCATGGCCTCAGGGCACGCCCTGCCTTATTGGTTACACGGGTGGGGCACAGTGAAGGTTCATTGACTGAAATTCAGGGAGGGTGTAGCCAATGAAACACAGGCATGTCTGAGCAAGAAACAGACTGCTTGAACATTCAAGGAAATTTTCCCATTCCTAGCTGTACTTCCATATTCTTTGATAATGCAAAAGAAAATGGGGAAGTTCTATACTTTTCTAATAGTTTTAAAGGAAAGTATCATTCTAGAAGTGGTATAGTATAATAAATATGGCACCATTTCCCCCTGAAACTTTAGTTTTGCTTTAGGTGAAATTTTATCTAAAAAAAATTACCTCCAAAGAGAAATATGCTGCTAAGTCTTGGTCAGTATTATGCAGATATCAAAGTGTAAATTAAAACCACTGGCTCTACAACATTTCCAAACACAAAATTTGCACATTGGAATCCAGAATTCCAGTTCTATGAGTGATGTGCTCCATAACTTTGAATGAGGCAGTAATGTTTTACACCCTTGATTTTTGTTTGGAGACAGAATAACCTAGCACTTAAGTGGTCAGCTCTAGAGGCATCAAGTCTGAGCACGAACTTGGTTCCAATTTTGTAAAATGGTGGCAAGTTACTTAAGCTCTTATCAACCTCATTTCCTACACCTCTAAAAAGGGATAATGACACTCTCTACCCCATAGGTTTGTTGTGAAGGTTAAAGAGATAGTAGATGAAAACCTCTCAGCTCAGAGCCTGTGGACCACTAGTGCTGCTTAGTTGTAGTTGTACCCTCTTAAAATGCCATAACTTCACAACTTGCCTTCTGGGTAGTATGGAGTTGCCATTGTCATCTTACTCGTTTTTTACTGAGCTTCATGCTCAAAGGAATGAGAATCATCTGGTCTCTCCTAGCAAGCAATGCGTCTGCTGTGTCTGTCTAGGTGTCCTGTGATAGGCTGCGACGGCCAAGGTCACATCTCAGGTAAATACACCTCCCACCGCACGGCTTCCAGCTGTCCCCTGGCTGCCAAGAGACAGAAGGAGACTCTTCTCAACAGGGCTTCCCTCTCCTGGAAACTCAACAAACAAGAACTGCCTCATTGCCCCCTGCCTGGCTGTAATGGGCTGGGCCACATCAATAATGTTTTTGTCACCCACCGAAGGTATCGCTTGTTTTGTCTTGTTCTGTTGTTGTTGTTGCTGTGATTGTTTGTCAACGAAGTTGCTTTGGGGGAGCAAATTAACCTCCAGGAGATCACTAATCCTAGCACTCTAGTTGCCATAACAGTGAGTCTTGCAAGATACATATTTGACCAGTTTGAAGAATGAAGAATGTTATTTTCTCCATTTCTGAAAATTCACTACACAATTTTCAGGTGCTCTAGAAACTATGCATATGTGTTTTGTATCCTAAAATAATACTTACGCTGCTGTTTTTAATGGACCTGTCATTATTTGGCTAGCTCCAAGTGGTGACATCTACTCCATTATGGTGTGTAATTATAGACTTTCACTTTACATATTTATGTCATTCCCTCCTTCTCACGAACAGGCTCAATTTCAGGCCAAAATTATAGTTATTTTGCTGCTGGGAAGATGGGACTTATCCAGAGCACAGAGAAAGAAGATGGCCCAGTGACCACTCAGTGGACAGCAGGATGGGGGAGACTGAGAAGATCCTTGTACAGTGTCACAAAGACTTAATTCATTTATCACTGAGTGCCGGTATTTCAGTTAGACCCTGGGCTGGCAACAGTGAGCGCAGCCCAGCATTATGGTTCACATTCTATCTAAAGCAAGAAGAATTGGCTATTCACTGCACACTGCCCCATCCAAGGGACATCTCCTCTTCCCAGCCACAGCCTGTGATGCCAATTTAAAGCCCAGTGATGCTTTAGTGAGCCCTGATGCCTTGATTATGAGCTGAACCATTTTGAAATTTTGTTCAGCTCTAAAGATACATATGGATGGTATCAGAAAATGAAGCCTTCCAGCGATTGCTTATTTAAATGGATGGAATCTGCTTATGAAGAAAACCTGAATTTTTTAAGTGGCTTGTTTTCTGATAGGTTTCAAATGCAGACTCGAGTCCACAACAGCACACATTGTTGTATTTGGAGTCTGAATCACCATTTTAATTCAGGAACACCAGTCACAAACCAAGTGTGCCTAATGACACATTTACTATACAGTGGCTTTACTCTCAGGCAATGACCTCAGTAGTGTCTATGTTATCATTGATAATAAATATTAATGTAGCCCTTTGGTGAGCACATCCCTCAGTTAGCAATAAAGAAATTATCTTTAAAAGCAATAAAGAAATTATCTTTAAAAAGTGTAAAGATATTTTAAGTGAGATGCCAGGGCTTGTTGTGGAGCAACTCTCCTCGTCCAGCCTGGGCTCTTCTAGAATGTAAGTGGAAGGGTGATTGGTAGGGCCACTTTAGCAAGCAAATTGCCTTAATTAGTCAAGTTGAACATGAGTGTGTCCTGCAACCCAGGCCCTCACTGTTAGGCTGACACCCAGGGGCTTACATCCTGGAGCCAGGAGACACTTACGAGAGTGTCTGTAGCAACTTTGCTTTTATAATTGCAGATGGGACATGGCCCACATGCTCACAAGTGTAGGTAAATAACAAGAGAACTGCACACAGCCGTGGAAAGAATGCACCACAGTGTGCATGTCAGCATGGATGCATCTTAGAGTGTAATGCTGAGCGGGAAAAGTAAACGTATTATATATTTCATAATAAGAAAAAGAATATTATGAGCTGTAAAAAAAAATAGGCTGTAATAATAATGGAAAGACAATATTTTCTAGGAAAAGGAAAGCAATTACGAGTTTAGACAAATGACAAACTCAAATTTCACTGTTGTTCACTAGATATTTCTGTTGTTCTGTAAACAGTTTAAGGGACTGAATTGAATTTAGGGTACTCTCTTTAAGGTGGAATGCTGTTTCTTTACTATATACAGAGTTTAATGAAATACAAAGATGTCTAGTTTATTGCTTGGCATATAGTAGGTGTTCAACATAGATTATTTCCTTTCCCCTTTGTAAAAATAATATTTAGTGTATGTGTATATATGCAGGAATTACACAGGAATTGCTTGTTCTAACTAATAGTGAGCTTTCATATGTTATGTATTTTAAACCTAGAATCCCTGAAGTTATTCTGTGCTCTTTACAATCACTAGTTACCTAATAACAGCTGACATATATATTTAGGGCTCTCACTGCTCCAGGAGAGAGTACTGTTCTAAGTAATCTACATGATTTATTCATTAAACCTCAACAAAATCTTTTGAGCTACATGGGTGTTATAATCATCCTTATTTGATAGACATGTAAGCAAGCACAGGGCAGTTAAGGCACTGTCTACTGTCATATGGGTAGGAAATGGCAGAGCTAAGGTCTGAATACAGCCGTAGAAGGCAGAGCCCTATTCTTGACCACAGTGTTATATGCCTCCCCTAGTGCCTGGTGAGTTTTCACCATGTGCCTGGCACTGTGCTATGACTATCATAGGCACTGTTGCATATAGTTCTCTCAACCATCCTGGAAAGTAAGTTTTGTTGTAATTCCCATTTTGCTGAATTGTAGCAAGGTTAAGTAGCTTGTCCAAGGTCTGGTGTTCATAAGTGGAGGCACTAGGATTCAAATGGAAGCTGTCCAACTGAATGGTAGCACTCTTATCCTTTATGCCATGTTGGATAAATGCTTCATTTTAAATTCATCTTTTTAACATAAGGCTTCTGGTAATTAATGGGAAAAATGTAAGGTCTATTAGTTCACTCACAAGTCTCTTCTTACCACACAAAAATCAGTTGGAAGTTCCTAAAAATATAGGTTCTCTAGCTGTGATCACTGAAAGAGAATCTCTCTAACGATACTGAGGCAGGAGATGTAGTGATCAGTGTCTGAGAACCACCCAGTAACGTAGCTGGGCAGATAGTGGTTCAGGACTGAAGATAGTCTGGACTCTGAGTATCATCTTTGTCAACTACGGAGAGGATCCAGAAAAACATGCTTGGCATCCAAAAGTTTTCAGCCCCTACAATTAGGCACTGCTTGAAGAGAACCTCTTCCATCCAGGCTGGGCTTAATATTAAGTAAGATCATGAACCTTTAATTGATTCTAGAAAGGTAAATGATCCGTGATCACTTTTATACAAAGGAAGATAAATCCTATAATTTGGGTCAAATTATACTACTAACCAAAAATATTCAGATGCAAATAAAATGCAAGCTTGAATATTCTGACATTGTATTGCTGTTGCTGTTGTTAGATGTCATTGAGTTGGTTCTGACTCAAAGCGACACTGTGTACAACACAATGAAACACTGCATGGTCCTGTGCCATCCTCACAATCTTTGCTATGTTTGAGTCCATTGCTGTAGCCACAATGTCAGTCTACCTCACTGAGGGTCTTTCTCTTTTTCACTGACGTTATACTTTACTAAGCATGATATTCTCTCCAGGAAATGTTCCCTCAGAGTCTCGCTATCTTTGCTTCTAAGCAGCACTGTGACTGTACTTGTTCTAAGACAGATTTGTTCCTTCTTCTGGCAGTCCATGGTATATATTCAATATTCTTCACCAACACCATAATTCAAATGCATCAGTTCTTCTTCGGTCTTCCTTATTCATTGTCCAATTTTACATGCATATGAGATGATTGGAAGTACCATGGCTTGGGTCAGGTGCACCTTAGTCCTCAAAGTGACATCTTTGCTTCTTAACACTTGAAAGAGGGCTTTTGCAGCAGATTTGCCCAACACAATATATCATTTGATTTCTTGACTGCTGTTTCTGGGGACGTTGATCGTGGAACTAAGTAGAATGAAATCCTTGACAACTTCAGTATTTTCTCCGTTTATCATAATGTTGCTTGTTGGTCCAGTTGTGAGGATTTTTGTTTTCTCTATGTTGAGGTATAACCCATACTGAAGGCTGTAGTCTTTGATCTTCATCAGTAAGTGTTTCAAGTCCTCTTCGCTTTCAGCAAGCAAGGTTGTGTCATCTGTATATCACAGGTTGTTAATTAGTCTTCCTCCAATCCTGATGCTGCGTTCTTCTTCGTGGAGTCCAACTTCTCGGATTATTTGCCTAGCAGACAGATTGAATAAGTATGGTGAAAGGATACAGCCCTGATACACACATTTTACTTATTTTAAACCACTCAGCATCCCCTTGTTCTGTTCAAACAGCTGCCCCTTGCTCTATGTACTAGTTCCTCATGAGCACCATTAAGTGTTCTGGAATTCCCATTCTTTGCAATCTTATTCATAATTTGTTATAAACCACACAGTCGAATGCCTTTGCATAGTCAATAAAACATAGGTAAAGTCCTTTGCATAGTCAATAAAACATAGGTAAACATCTTTCTGGTATTCTCTGCTTTCAGCCAAGATCCAGCTGACATCAGCAATGATATCCCTTATTCTGTGTCCTCTTCAGAATTCAGCTTGAATTTCTGGCAATTCTCTGTTGATATACTGCTACAACTATTTTTGAATTATCTTCAGCAAAATTTTACTTGTGTGTGATACTAATGATATTGTTCAATAATTTCTGCATCCTGTTGGATTGCCTTTCTTTGGAAGGAGCATAAATATGGATCTCTTCTAGTCAGTTGGTCAGGTAACTTGTCTTCCAAATTTCTTGGCATAGATGAGTGAACCCTTCCAGCATTGCATCCTTTGCTGAAACATCTCAGCTGGTATCCTGTCAATTCCTGGACACTTTTTTTTTTTTTTTTTTTTTGACCAATGCCTTCAGTGCAGCTTGAACTTCTTCCTTCAGTACCATCGGTTCTTGATCATATGCTACCTCCTGAAATGGTTGAACGTCAACCAATTCTTTATGGGACAGTGACTCTGTGTATTCTTTCTGTCTTCTTTTGATGCTTTCTGCATCATTGAATATTTTCTCCATAGAATCATTCAGTATTGTAACTCGAGACTTGAATTTTTTCTTCAGTTCTTTCAGCTTGAGAAATGCAGAGCATATTGTTCCCTTTTGGTTTTCTAATTCCAGGTCCTTGCGCATTTCATTATAATACTTTGTCTTCTTGAGCTGCCCTTTGAAATCTCCCATTCAGCTCTTTTACTTCATCATTTCTTCCTTTTGCTTTAGAAACTACATTTAAGAGCAACTTTCAGAGTCTCTTTTGACATTCATTTTGGTCTTTTTCTTCCCCGCTTGTCTTTTTAATGAACTTTTACTTTCTTCATGTATTACGTCTTTGCTGTCATCCCACAATTCATCTGGTTTCCGATCATTAGTGTCCGTGCATCAAATCTGTTCTTGAGATCGTCTCTAAATTCAGGTGGGATATGATATACTCAAGGTCGTAGTTTGGCTCTCGTGGACTTGTTGTCATTGTATATCACTTATTTTAGCGAAAAGAAAATCCTATTACAGATGAACACTTTGACCTGTAAGTAACATCAGCACTATCATTATATAATAATTACTTTAAACCTTTGATTTAAATCTTTATATAACAAACATCTACTGTGAAGAAAAAAAAAAAAAACAGCCTGAGAAGACAAATGACATTATATTAAAACACAGACACATTATTATGGATGTTTGTAATTTAAAACCACAGAAGTTCTATGACCAATAGAATTCATTTAGTGCTACCCCGTATTTTTGTCCTTTTACTGAGGTTTAATATATTGCAAATAATTACGTCTACTACATAAATTATATCACCTGTCGTTTTACTTTAAGAAGGCAAATGAAGGTATAGTTTTAAATTGTCTTGATATACCTTAGTAGATATGCCAAAACCATATAAGGCATTTTTTTTAGCTCCTTTGCAATATGATGCCCAAACCCAGGAAGGTGACACCCCACCCTGGCAAACCCCACCTTTTATTAACCAGGACAATAGAGCCTCGTGGAGGACTTGGCCCTCTTCAAAAGCAAGAAAAGACCTTTAAAATAATTTTCTCTCCCCAAAACACTTTTTTTTTTAATGCAGTATTTGTTTTATATTCTGAAAGTTAAAACAACATTGAAAGATACAAAGTATCAAGTGGTCTTTTTGAAACCAAAGCCTCCTTTTCTTAACTATATGGTTAGTCCAATAGTTACTGAAGTTACACTAACTTTTCCACACCACTGTTACACCTGTATCTGAACAAAGCAGATCATTTAGGGGAGAGAGGTCTAAGAGATGTTAATGAGGTATTAATATCCATTACATTATAAATGAACTTACCATAAAAAAAAGTTGCCGTTGAGTCGATTTCAACTCATAGCAATCCTATGGGGCAGAGTAGAACTGTCTCATAGGGTCTCCAAGGAGTGGCTGGTGAATTCCAACTGCTGAACTTTTTGGTTAGCAGCCAAGCTCTTAACCACTGAACCACCAGGGCTCCAGAACTTATCATAGGCCACTTTAAATACCCCATATATCCACTAAATATGAACTCAAGTCATAACCACTTTCTGAGAACACATTTATGGCAGAAAACAAGACAGACTTTTGCAAACTTTTCAGATAATGAAGTGTAGATAGGCCACAATCTACAGTGAGAAGTTTCAAAAATAGAAGAATCAGGTCCAATATTTAGTTTGTAACTTTTCTTGTTTTCTTTTCCTGTATAAAATATTTTATAGCTTATCAAATATTACACACAGATAATTTTTCTATATTTTATATTATCTTAATATAGAATAATTTGGTATTCTTACAAAATGCATTTATTCAGTGAACATTTATTGAGGGCTTTGTTCCAGGAATGTTTTCTTTCACTTTGTCAAGTGGCCTAATCTTCAGGCTGAAGTGATTGTTTCATATATGAACTGAAACTAAGTTTCTGTGAAAAATAATATTTTGAGCTAATTGTGATAATTTTGAATTTGATATAAAAATTGCATCTACAAAAATGGAACAAAATTACAAAAAAATTAACAGCTGCTTAGAACAACAAAATTATCTGATCATATATTATGGAAAACAATTTTTGTTTAATGTGTTCATTAGCAGATTGTTGCAATTTAAATAAATTAGATGATGTTAGAGGAAACAATTACTGCTGAAGGGCTCAACTATTAAAGGAAAGGGTGGCACGCATCACTACAGGAAACAGACTTCCAAGGAGGCAATGGCATCTCAAGATTTGTAGTGGTTCCTTTCCCCTTTCAGAGTAGATATTCTTAAAATGAAATATAATGTTTCAAAAGTCAAAGAATAAATTAGAAACTTCCCTACCCACCAACAGTGAATTCAACCAGAGGGAGGGGTAGTACCAGTGGTTACTGTTTTGGGCTTGTATTAATTTGAATTATTCTATAATAAAAGAATGACATTACTGTTTGAATTATGATAGAAAGAGCCAGATTCTGCTACACATGGAATTTTGACTGATTTGGAACAATTTTTATTCATAATAATATGTACAATTTTAGGTTTACAGAAAATAATGACTAGTAAATAAAGGCACGTATATAAATGCAGAACAGTAACATTTTAACAGAATAAATTACATCATTATTATATATCATCAGTAGCTATTTATATTTTTACTTAATAAAAAAACACAAAACATTTTACATTATTTTAGGGCCTTTTGCTTTTGTTTGAATAAGTATTTACTCGACACTTTCTATAAAGAACCTGCACGTTATAATGCAATTAGTAAACAGGCAAAATCTTAAGTAGTAGAAAATGAAATTAAAAAAAAAATTATAGGAAATAATATGCATTTCACACATCAGTATAATTTCTATTTCTGCAGCTTATCTGGATGCCCTCTAAATGCACAAGCCATCAAAAAGGGCAGAGTCTCTGAAGAACTCATGACCATCAAGCTCAAAGCAACTGGAGGTAAGAATGTGTGTAGGAATCGCCGTCTTCACCAAGAGATCCAACTGTAGCTCCCCAGAGGATTCTGCATGTCAAAGCATACTTTCTTCCCTCTTGGCAAAATAGTGTGGTACATTATTCCCTTCCTGATATTAACTTACCTCACCCCTTTAGTAGTTAAAATAGTTAAAGATACATTAATCATTTTCCCCTAAATTAAAAAAAAAAAAAAACATAGAAGTAAAATCTTACTGTATAAACCTAATACAAAAATAAAGGTTCACTCAAGAAATATAATTAAGAAGTAAAAATTTAACTCCCTAGAGCCCCTAATATATTGAATATACCTGTTGTCTACACATACGCACATCACTCATATAATTCTGTTGGCGTTAGGAATACCAGAGACATAGCTTCCAGCATCACTGCAACACACAAGCCACCACAGTGCAACAAACTGACAGATGGGTGGTGGAATGAATCAAAAACAGCCACCTGATTTGTTATGCTATGTGTAATCTTTCAGGACTCACTTTTTGCCCTTTCACCTTATATTTCTAAGTGTCACCCATGTTGTCTTTGGTGGACAGGGGCTTTTGACCAGGTCCTGCTGTAATGGACAGTACTTCTGTGTTCATGTTGCACATGCTTCCTGTGGTACACGTGCAGCCATGTGTCTATGAGTGTATCTAGGTATGGGATTGCTGCATCACAGAGAATGGGAAAGTTCACCTTTAATAGGTAATGAACAATTTTCCAAAGCAGTTGCCCAGGAAAGTATAAGAGCCTCGATCTCCTTCAATCAAATTGTCAAGCCCATCCTGCTTCGTGAAATCAATCTTATTAAATCCAGATGAAGAAGTTTACTTTTATCCCTGTTAATGGTCATCACTTGGGATTAGAATCATCTTTCTGGACTGAGATTACCTTCAGTCCTGCTTCTAGCATCCTTAATATCAGCCACCTCTTCCAGATTTTTGCAATCATTAAAACGTATTCCTATCCCTTCTATAAAATAATGATGGGAAAATAGCCCCCCTTTAGGTTCAACACTTTACATTTTGTTGTATGAATTCTCACAACATAGATATTACGTCTATTTTACAGAAGAGGAAACTGAGGAACAAAGACACCAAGTTAAGTGTCCCAAGTTCAAGCACAAGGGTCAAAGCCAGCATGGAAACTCCAAAGCCTATGTTCTTTCCTCTAAATCACATTTGCTTCTTATCCACGTTCAAGGAGAGCACTCTACTGAGTGTCCTTGAACTCTGTCTCTCATGGCTGCCCTCTCAGCTCTGCCCAATTGTGGTCTACATGGTACCACTCAGTTACACAGACTAGCTGATCACTGGGTGTGATTTATGTCATCGCTGTTCTTTCAGCGTTGTGTACAGAGAACTCACGGGGTCCAGAGTCAGGGCCTTTGGAGTTTCATCCTGTCTCTGCCACTTGAACTCAGGCAGATTAATTAGGATCTGTTGGCGATTAGTAAGGCCTGGCTGAGTGTCTCTAAGGCTCAGTGTTTTTATACCTGATAAGAGAATGAACAGTGTAATAGAGCAAGGCCCAGAGGGTGGCAGGGATATTTAAGTGAGAAAACATATATCCCAGCGTACCTGGGATATAAGGAAACTACTTTAGATGGTGTACTTTTCTACTCCCTCTTTTCTTTCTTACAAAGAAACTCAATCCTGCAACCCATTTTACCCACTTTTTTAAGAATCCTGGATATGTGTGATTTGGGAAAACTTTCAACAGTTTAAAGTCTGATTTTCAGGTAGACACCACAAATCAAACGTAAAATGACTCATATCTGTGAGAGTCTCATATGCATAGGCACGCATTTTCAGTGTGAGCTAATAGTCTGACTCGTTGTAGGTATAGAGAGTGATGAAGAAATTAGGCATCTGGATGAAGAAATAAAGGAGCTGAATGAATCCAACCTTAAAATTGAAGCAGATATGATGAAACTGCAGACCCAGGTAAAAATAATAATAATAATTAGTTACCTTTATGGTAATTGTAATCTTTGATGGAAACAAAATACTGGACTTTTAAACCTGATTAAAAATATCCTGATGTCTTGCAGTGAATATACTGAGAATTGCTTAATTACACAATTAACTTTTAAAAAACTGAGTGGATAGATTATCCTGGATCATCACTGATTCCATGGCTGCAGGCAAACTTACTCATGGTTTTGCCTTGGTTGCTTTTAACATTTTATTAGCAAATAAACAATATCATCCTGCAATTAAAGATTCTAGGGACTAAATGATGATTCAGAAAAATTGTAATGGGAAGATGAGAGTACTCAGTTTTATTTAAAATCCAAGAAATCATAGCAGCTTTTTATTTCTGTAATTTTTCTAAAATAACCCTAAACATGTTGGTATTTGTTAGAAACAGATCTGTTTTTTATTTTTATTTTTTCCTATATAAAAATTTATACATATATTGTTATGTGATTCTAAGTGCTTTCCCCATACTGTGACAACACACTCTTCCTTTCCACCCCTGATTTCCCATGTCCATTCAACAATCTTCTAACCCTCTCTGCCTTTGCATCTCACCTCCGGAGAGAAGCTGACTGTTTAGTCTCCTCTATTTACTTAAGCTAAAAGGCACACTCCTCACAAGTATCACTTTATGTCCCACAGTCCAGTCCAATCCTTGCCTCGGAAGTTGTTTTATTTCTGGGCTGATAGAGAATCCAGTGGCCATGCTTTCCAGGATACCGCAAGTCTCAGTCAGACCATTAAGTCTGGTCTTCTTACTAGAATTTGAGTTCTGCACCCCACCTTTCTCCTGCTCCATCTGAGGCTCTCCGTTGTGTTCCTTGTCAGGGCGGTCATTGGTGGTAGCCGGGCACCATCTAGTTCTTCTGGTCTCAGGCTGATGAAGTCTCTGGTTTATGTGGCTCTTTCTGTCTCTTGCGCTAATACTTTCCTTGTGTCCTTGGTATTCTTCATTCTCCTTTACTCCAGGTGGTTGGGACCAATTGATGCATCTTAGACGGCTGCTTGCAAGCTTTTAAGACCCCAGACGCCACTCTCCAAAGTAGGATGTAGAACGTTTTCTTAATAAGCTTTGTTATGCCAATTGACCTAGATGTCCCCTGAAAGCATGGTCCCCAGACCCCTACCCCTGCTACTCTGTCCCTCAAAATGTTTGATTGTATTCAGGAAACTTCTTAGCTTTGGTTTAGTCCAGTGGTGCTGACTTCCCCTGTAGTGTGTGCTGTCCTTCCCTTCACCTAAGATAATTCTTATCTACTATCTAGATAGTAAATGACCCTCATCCTCCCTCCCCACCCTCGTAACCATCAAAAAACGTTTTCTTCTGTGTTTAAATCTTCTCTTGAGTTCTTGTAATAGTGGTCGTATACAATATTTGTCCTTCTGTGACTGACTAAATTCACTCAGCATAATGCCCTCCAGATTCCTCCATGTTATAAGATGTTTAAAAGCTTCATCATTGTTCTTTATCGTTGCATAGTATTCCATTGTGTGGCTATACCATAATTTGTTTATCCATTCGTCTGTTGATGGGCACCTACGTTGTTTATATTTTTTGCTATTGTCAAAAGTGCTTCAATGAACATGGGTGAGCATATATCTATTTGTGTGATGGCTCTTATTTCTCTAGGATATATTCCAAGGAGCGGGATAGCTGGATTGTATGGTACTTCTATTTCTAGCTTTTTAAGGAAGCGCCAAATCAATTAACAAAGTGGTTGTACCATTTTACATTCC